ATGACTGTCACTTCTTCTTTTTTATCTCGGCTATCTGAACCACATATTCCCCCAATTATCGTCTTAAACGAACAACAAACCTCCATATCGCACTAAAGTACTGAACTTTATTTGATTATGCTGTAAAGTTGGGCATTAAAAAGATGAAAATATGGCAGATTATTATAAATTTCGCAACTTTTAATCAATACCCCGCCCAGTATTCTAAATTTAGAAATGTAGTAAGTAATATGTAGTATTTACAATCAAAACAAAACATGGGAAGCGCGCTTTGAAATATTAAAGTGACCTGAAATTTACAACAATTGTATTAAAATGTGTGATATGCCATACAACGAACAAGATATCACGTAAATAAACCGAATAAATAATTAAACATCGTACGGAATAACGGATGTCAAATATATTTACAAAATTTGGCCTCCTGTGCATGCAGACACGGCAGCTTGACAGGCATGGTCGAATCGGTAAACGAATAAACCACATCGATGTATATTGAAAAACATTCATGAAAATCTGGGTTTAGCAGTTTAACAGGTAAGAATCCTTAACAAAATGCATCATTTAAGGTTTTTAATGTGTTTTAGGTTCGTTTATGAGTTCATAATCCACACATAAACACTAGCGTCTTGTATTTTGTTGAATGCAGAAATGAGTAAATTTGACCAAAGTTTGAGGAGCTACCACGTGAATGAAAATCATTTGCCCAAAGATTTTTTTATACCATTAGAAAGATAAACATATAAGTAATCGAGCATGGACGTTTCAAGCGACTGACAGGTTAAGCAGTTTTAAAATTCATATTTTTGTACGACATACTTTGAGCGACTCGAAATATATGTTTAGCGAATAAAATTATATTGTTGTGTTATAACTGAACAATTGATCTTAAAGTCACACATGTTGTGCACAATGGAATATTTTCAAATTATTTGGGGTGTTTGTACCTCTAGCGTTTCTTATTTTTCGACCATCTGCCGCGAAAGTTGAGTAATAATTAACTGTCGTAATCGGCGTTTTTTGGTAGTGTTTGATAATTTAAATTTTCTCCGTTATAAAGCGTTATTTGATCAAACCAACTATAAGGCAATTCTTGGGATACATTACCCTCGCTAACTTGAAAGTATAAGGGAAATCGATTTTTCAAGGTTTGCCGCGGATTTCAAATTTTGCGTGATGGTTACAGGCAGTCACTCTTAATTAAGTGTTGTAGCAAATATTTCTATGGCTATGCCTATGGGACTAACTTTTCAGAAATTACACTGTAATCAGAGTGTCTATATACAGTGTATATAAAAAAACATGAACCTTTCAAATTCAAATAGCTATAACGTATTGTAGTAATTTGACAGCTCTAATTGCTTTAAATTAATGGTTGGATATATATAAGAACACAAGGTCTTGTACTCATGGGACAAAACTCAAAGAAATAAAAATTACAAAATTTAAAAGAAATACAGTATTCCTTCATTTCCTTGTGTTCTTACCAATCATTAATTCAAAGAAATTAGAGCTGTCAAATTACTACAATGCGTTATAGCTAATTTGAATTTGAAAGGGTTCAGTTTTTTTTATACACCCTGTAGAACCGATAAGTATTAAATATAATAAAACATGCAAACTGTGACAATTGTATAGGCCTATGAAATATTACACGCCAGTCCGTGTGATTGCTTTTTCCGAAATAGATTACGGCTAAGAGTTTTTAGTACATATCAGAAAGCGTGATAGAGAACCTTCTAGAATTCCCGTTAAAAACCTAGTTGATAGTTTTGATAAGCAAAAATCAAAAGCGCCGATCAAGGGCGTCACTAGAGGGGTGGGGGGTATATTAGTTACATTGATTAAAATGTTAATAGTTAAGTGAACTCTGGAGAAACGTTGCATGTCGTGTATTTGTAATTTTCTAATCACATATAGTCACACAAGTGTGGCTAATTTAATGAACAATTCCCACCATGTATACGATCACCTTCTACTGTAAGCCAGCCAAGCTGGGGCGTAGGAAGCTTCTAAAAGTTGGGGGGGGGGGCAGGCTTTGAGGGGCACTTTTCGAATAAAAAAGG